TGAGCAGGTATACTTATGATGTCCACAACTTCTAATAAATGCATGATTACTGAATCAGCCTTTCTGAGCTCAATGCAGTTGCCCATTGAAAACCTGAATAAGTGTCAATAGTGTGGTATTTCAAAATCTGCAAAGGGGAACACATTTATCTGCCAGATTTCATTCCTTTGAGTACCCTTTTGGTTACTACCTGTAGATAGTGATGTTTAGTTATAAAAAGCACAAGTAAAACATCTCTTTATAATCTCCTTAGCTTGTTGCTATGTAATAGAAAAATCTTTCTTTAAACCTTTGCTATTGACATGATGTTTATTATGAATTTCTGAGGCCTTCAACACACTTACAATCAATAATCATTCAATTTCTACATTTCCTTGTGCTATTGGATTTGGCAGACCCTTTTGGGATCAGGTGTGTCTTATGTATATGGGACAAAGCCTATTCCTGATTATTCTGTGAACCTGTAGAAATAATGAAGTCAATTCTGTGCCATCTGGTATAAATCCAGCAGTTTTAATAAAAAAGAAATTCTCTCTGCATATTATGAATCAGTAAGCATATTGAGAGGTTCTTTAAAATCCCTTAGTACCATGAGGATAGCACATAATTCTGCCTTTTAGGCAGAATTGTAAGGGATTTGTTACACCTTACTTAAATTTGTAACCTGCCTTTCCTGATTTATTTGCCATCAGTATAGCATGTACAGGCTCCACTTATGGTGTGTCCCATACAATGTGGGGAAGGATCTAAGTAGTTCTCTTTATAAGGTTATTTCTATCACTTTTGGGTTAATTGCTTTTAATCTCTCCTAAAAAAATTAGTACAAGCTCTTTGCCAAGGTTCATTGTCTTCCCATAATTTTTAAATTCATCAGTAGTAAAAGGCGCTATAATCTCTACTGGGTCTATTCTTGCTTGTTGAAAAAGTCTCAATTTTCCTTTTACGTTTATTTCAGAGACTTTTTCCACATAAATTTTTAATTTTTTACTTGGTTTATGTGGTAATAAAAAAATCCATTCTAAGATGATATCTTCCCTATGCATTAAAATTCCTGTAGAGAAAATTTTTGAAAGACAATATGACTAAAATGCAATAAAGATTTGGATTCATCCTCTCCACATAATGCCTCCTATGATTTTTCTTCAATGACAATTAATTCCTTTTCAGGTTCAGCTCTTAATTCCCTGGGACTACTGAAGTCTTTGTCACCATCTAAGGTTGTGTTTAAATTAACTATTAGATCAGATGTTATTCCAACAGCAGGTCATAGACTGGAAATGTCTCCTAACAACCTTTGAAAGTCACTAAGAGTCCTCAGCCAGGCTCTCCTAATTGTGCCTTTTGTGTTCTAATTTTCTGTAAGCGTATTTTATAACCCAGGTAATTGACAGAATCTCCTCTCTGTGTTTTTTCAGGAGCAATTTGTAATCCCCATTTTGGCAAATCTTTCTTTACTTCATCAAGCATTCTTCCTAAAGTTTGAGTCAGAGAGCAAAATGCCATTCATGTAATGGTAAATTATAGATTTAGGAAATTGTTTACATATTATTTCCAAGGGATGACTTACAAAGTATTGGCATAGGGTGGGGCTATTGAGATTTCCCTGTGGGAGGATAGTCCACTGGTATCTCCTAGTAGGCTAAGAGTCATTATAAGTAGGCATTGTGAAGGCAAATTTTTCTCTGTCCTTTTCTTGTAAAGGTATAGTGAAGAAACAATCTTTTAATAACTCAATAACTATAAGAGGCCATCCTTTTAATAATAGAGAAGGCAGAGAAATTCCAGATTGTAGAGGACCCATAGGTTGAATTACCTTGTTGACAGCTCTTAGATCTGTCACCATTCTCCGTTTACCAGATTTTCTTTTAACAACAAATACAGGAGAATTCCAAGGGCTGGTTGGTTCTTCAGTATGGTGAGCATTTTTTGCTCCTATACCACTCTTCTACAGGCTACAATTTGTCTTCTGTCAAAGGCTACTGTTTAACCAATATTGGTTTCTCAATTAACCATTTTAAATGGAGGTGTGTTGGCACCTCTTAAGTTTTGCTAGTTGTTTTGTGTTCTTGTATAACCTGAATGACTGATAACCTTTGTGTATTGTACCTTATAATATCCTTCCCAGAAATATGAGTTTCTGGGGCTGCAGGAATGTTAATCTGGGCATTCCATTGTTGCAGCAGGTAACGACCCCATACTTTCACTAAAATATTAGCCACATATGATTTCAGCCTTCCTCTTTGTCCTTCTGACCCTATGCATTCAACCCATCTCATGCTTTGTCTTACTTGAGATAGGGTTCCAATTCCTAGGAAATGAATATCTGCTTCTTGAAGAAGTCAGTTTGGTTGCCATATTCTGGAGTAATGATACTCACGTCCTATCAAACCCACAATTACAATGCCACTATACACACTCTTAGCTTTGGTCTTTGATCATTTGTAGAAGTCTGTAAGAATATATATATATATATATATATATATATATATATATATATATTCCTATTGAAATTTTTGATTCATCCTCCATATTTATTCCTTCCTGGAACAGTATGGATATTTTCAGAAGGCACTGGATTTTTTAATTTTCCTGGTGAGACATGTCCTCCACAGTGACTGAGAATTACTGAACCACTTTTGACATGGGAGTCTGTGAGAGCCCACTCCCCTAAGGAGTTTCCCAATGATATCAGGTTGCCTTGTCTGTCTTGTTGATCTACATTCATTGGCCCAATGTCAACCTTTGCCACAACTTCTACATAATCCAGAAGGTTGATGCCTTTTATTTTTGCCATTCCCATAGGAGACATTATTTCTAAGAATTCCTTGTCTACAATCCTTTCTCAGATATCCTATTCTACCACAATTAAAATGTTTAGCAGCCAGGCAGTGGAGATGCATGCCTTAAATCCCAACACTCTGGAGGCAGAGGCAGGCAAATCTCTGTGAGTTTTAGGCCAGCCTGGTCTACAGAGCTAGCTCCAGGACAGACTCCAAGAGCTACAGAGAAACTTTGTCCTGGAAAAAAAAAAGAATGTAGAAAATTTTTGTCATTTTGATGTTTCCACATACATTTGGAAATTGCTTCTCCTGCACAGGATTCAATATTATAGTCAAATGTCTCAATGTTCATTGTGTGCAGGATCCATGGATCCATTGGTGCTGATCTAACCTCTAAAAGCCCAAGTATCTTTTGCATTCTAAGTTGGCATTTTCAAAACCAGAGATTCAATAAGTACTCATCTAGCATCTAGGTCTGTTACCTCTATTTGTACAGCCTTGGTTAATCTTTGTAAAAAGTCACTAAAGGATTCTCTCTGGTCCTGTTTAACCCTGGTATATGATTCAATCCATTTTCTTGATTCTTGAATGCTGTCCTCTTGCATTTAACGCTGCTTTGTGGTATAGAGACAAGATTTGTTCGTAGTAAAGTGCTTAGGCCTGTGCACCAGCATAAGTGCCTTCACCAAGAATTTGATCTTGGGAAGTCTCAAGTCCTTTTGCTTTTCCCCATTGTTTTAAAATTTTTGCCTCTCCTCACAAATAACATTTCCACAGTAATTGTGGCCCATCATTCAGAACTGCTGAAACTAATTGAAGCCAGCTGTATGGAGTGTCCTTATTGCTAGATGCCCACATGGAGCCTCTCTCAGGATGAGTTTTTAAGCACAAAAACTGTATTGTGGGTTGACATACTTTAGTTAATAGGAATATTAAGCCAGAATGAGCATATGACACACGCCTTTAATCGCAGCATTTGGGAGGCAGAGGCAGGTGGATCTCTGGGTTCAAGGCCAGCTGGTCTACAAAGACAGGCAGGGCTGTTACACACAGAAACCCTGTCTCTAAAAAGAAAGCATAATTATCTAGAAACGGAACGACAGAATCCAAACATCAAGGTCAATACATTTAGAGAATTTGCCAGAACTATGACTTTGATGGATTAAGTCTTTGTTTATTTTGTCAGGTGGTGCTGTCTACTTGCTGAGTTTTAGGACCTGAATGGTACTTCCATCATGGAATCAGTTGTGCTAAGCCCTGATGTGCTGTTGCAGCCTCCACCCGCATGAAACACACTCTCTGTCTCTGTCTCTGTCTCTGTCTCTGTCTCTGTCTCTGTCTTTGTCTCTCTCTTTCTCTTTCTCTCTCTCTCTCTCTCTCTCTCTCTCTCTCTCTGTGTGTGTGTGTGTGTGTGTGTATCTCTGTTTCTCTCTCTCTCTCACTCTCACTCACACACACACACACACACACACACACACACATGCTCAGGTGTGACCTCGTAGGAGATATTTAGGTCATAGTGTTATCGATTTAGGAAGAGACAAAGCTATAGGATTCAGATGTTTCCCTTAAGAATGGGCCTTTGGAAAAAAAAAAAAAAGAATGGGCCTTTGAAGGACAAAAGGAGCCTGGCATCTGGATCTTTTGTGCTCTATTCTCTTCTACATGAGCTCCTGCCCTTGTGATGACCTCACCAGAGGCCAACTTGATGATGAGTTCCTCATGTTCCAGAACTACGAGTTAATAAACCTGATTTTCTTTTATATTGCCTAAACTCAGAGATTTTGTTATAACACAGGAAATATACACAGATTTTGTTGTCTAGGCCTTTTGGAAGCCACTCTTCCCTGTTCTGACACAGGGCTGACTCAGCACCCTTGTGATCTCTTTGAACACTGATCACATGTTTGTCCAGACACAAAGACATCTTCGGCAGGCCACCGATAGGGCTCAGCAGATTAAGGTGATTGCCACCAAGCCTGAGCACTTGAATTAAGTCTCCAGAACCTATAAGGTAGAAAGTGAACATGGACTCCACATGTTGTGGTGTGCATGCAACCACACACATGTGCTCCCATGTGCAACACTGCCCAAACACACAGTAGAATTTCAGGGACTGTTTCCACCTCCCTCTCCACCCTCCAAGTCTATAAGAGCATCTTGGGCCAGTTGAGTCACCACTAGGTTATCTAGGGAGAGATATAAATAAGAATGAAGCAGTTTTGATGAAGACAACTTTAATAGTTTAGGAGGAACACCATCTGATGGACACGTGCAGGAAAATGAAACTGGAAGCATCAGTGCTAAGTGCTGAGCTAGGAAAGTGTGGCTGATGATCTTGGTGGACACTTGCTCTTCCAAGGAACGGGGTATTAGAGTTGCCTGTGGGAAGATGAGCGATTTTCTTACCTCCTCTAACGATATTAAGACTTATTACAACATGTTGCTATTGTTCTTCATTTCTAGAAAATAGCTAGGTTCTTAAGCAAAAAGAAGACCCTGAGGCTGCCTGAATTTCACTTGAGGTTTAGTTAGACCCTCCTCAAAGGACTTCAGTAAGATGGGTATTATCCTTTAGGACACTCCTCCAAACAGTCTTGGCGTTCTGCGCAAGTATTTCAACGATGAGGAGCTGTCTCCAGAGTCTTAAGCCACGAGTGAAAAAGTTCCACAAGCCGTACCACCACGAGACTTCAAGACACTTGAGGAACATGCACACGGGAAAACTCATCATGAGTCTCAGCCTCCAGTCCTTCGTGTGCAACTCCTGGAACTTCATGGACATGCAGCCCATCTGCAGTGTCCCTGTCCTCTGGGCCACCTGCTGAAGAGACCCATCATCCACACCAAAGAGCTTCTGGTAGTTTTCAAAACTCTCCTGGAGGTCAGCAGTATCACACATACGGCTCACGGCTGTCTCCTGGGGTCTTGTGAGCATGCTATTCTTCAGGAACAACGCCTTCTCACTGATGCTCCTGTCACAGATTCCAGAAAGAGTCTCTAAGAAATCTGCGTACCTGATGTTGAAGTGGTCTCTTCTCAGTTTGTCTCTAAGGTTCAGGAAGTCATGAAAAGAAGGACTAAAGTTGAATACTAGGAATACAAAAAGATGAATGATGTGGAATACATAAACCCATGCAAGGCACAAGAAAACACTAGAGTTTTCGCCTTCTGGAGTGGACGCTGGGACATATCAGTGTGCAGACAGGACTCCAACCACTTCTCAGAACCACACCAAATCTCAAGACGCTAGACAGCAGCATACACCTTATCCCACAGTTCTCAGCTGAAAGCCCTAGCTGGTTCAGGCGTGTGCAATTCCATAGTTATGAGTGATTGATGTGGCTCTTACCCTTGAAATTTTGTTTTCTTGTTTGTGTGTATGAAACTAAAATCATTTGAAACTCAACGCCACATATTTGAGAAATTTCCTTTCAGTCTCACGTACTTCCTCTGTCCTTTAAGGGTCTCTCTACCAGCAAGATGGTGGTGGTGGCAGAGCATGCCTTTAATCCCAGGACTCAGGAGGCGGAGACAGGCAGGTCTCTGAGAATTCGAGGCCAGCCAAGTCTATATGTAAGTTTCAGGGTAGCCAGAACTACAAAAAGAAACCCTGCCTTGAGAAAGGAAGGAAAGAAGGAAAGAAGGGAGGGAGAGAGGGAGGGAGGGAAGGAGAGAGAGAGAGAGAGAGAGAGAGAGAGAGAGAGAGAGAGAGAGAGAGAGAGAGAGAGAGGTCCCTGCCAGACTTACTCTTGGGTCCTGTGAAAGGACTAGAATTGTGCCCAGATGTGCACCCTAGATATCCAGGGCTCTCGTCTGTGGAAGGGGCTTCTCAGGCACCCTTAAGTCTTTGGTACTGGTTTTTGCTCTCTGTTTTCCCAGTGGAAGCATCCTCTTCCTCCCTTGCTCATCTTCCAGGAAGGACTGTAATGCCTGCAGCACAGCTCTGCTAGCCACACTATGTCAGCCCAAGGAGCTGGCTGCAGGCTCCACATAGGGCAGGCTGACACCTCCTCCTGAGTCCCCAAAGCATCAGGCTTGGTGAATTGTGGACAACTTCCTAGGTCCCTAGTTCTCTGCAGATTACTGGAGTAGTTACTTTTCTCACTCCTGGGACTCAATACCAGCAGGAGTCCTGGAGAGGCTTCCTGTGAACTGCTGCAGAAACCACTGCTCAGACCCTGGCAAGGCATTGCCTAGAGCCAGCCCATCAGAATTCAGCCTGGAGTTCCAATGGCCCAGGCTTCCATATTTGAGGGTGCAGCTCAATTTATGCCTCTAGTGTCTCTGGTTTGATCCTGGGCACATGGCTCAGACAAAGGTCCAGGGGGATGAGGAACAGGCCCTCCTGGCTCACACCCCTGTGGCCACACGTTACCCGCCCTGCTGGGCTATACCCTCTCTGACCAGGAGCCAAAACAAGCCCTTCTCTCTTAACCTGTATCTGTCAGGAATTTTGACACAGCCGAGGACGATAATGAAGGCTCTCCTCATCCGCATGTGAAAATGCCATAGCGCAACCTGCTATTTTACAGAGCATATTTCCGTTGTTGCATTTATTGATTTCTTGTGTTGAAGGTGTGCCAGACGCACAGGTAAGTTAGAGGACCCTTGCGGCTGACAGTTCTCTCCTTCTCCCATGGGGTAATGGAGCTCAAGCTCAGCTAGTGATCACTTTTACACATTCAGCCCCCTCACTAGCCCACTATTATAGACTCATAAATAGTATACATCTTAAAATGTAAATCACTGTCTACTAAAGCCCGTGCTGGTATAAAACTCACTGTGTAACTTTGAACTGAATCTTCTGTCCCTCTTCCCAAGAGCTATGACCAGGAGTGGGATTCACCTCACCCAGCTAAATTATATGAATACTGAAAAATCACCATATGAAAAGATTGCCCAGTCAGGACTGTGTGCAGTTCCTTCTGCATCCAGTGCCCTTGAGCCTCCATCCGCGGGGCTTCCCAGTATTAACCAATAAAACTCCAATATACCCCTTTGCTATTGGAAGACCTGGATAAATACAGACCCTTCTAGCAGGAAGAGAAGAGCCAAAAATCTAGATTAGCCAGGTCAGTGACTCTATTTCAGGAACTACGTGAAGACAAAGTTAGATTGTAATCTTGAGAATAATTTTGAGAAAAAATGACCCCCTTTTTATTATCACTGGTATTTTCAGAATTTTTCAATGACACCCTCCCTACCCCCATTGTATTAATGGGTTATGGTTTCTTCCCTTAAATACCCCTTCTCCCAGCTACTCAGGGTCGAACTCCTCCCCTCCGTGGGTTTTGAATCTCGGTCCCAGTGCACTAGCTCCTGTCCTGTCAATAAACCTCATGTGATTGCATCAGGGACAGTCTCTCGTGAGCTACTGGGGGTGTCATGTTATCACGAGACTTGAGTGAGAGTCTCCCTACACCGGGGGTCTTTCATTATCACTGTACCTATAAAGTTAATATTGAATGTCAAATTGGCAGGACCTAGAATAACTATAAATTTCTGTGAGAGAATTTCTAAACTTGGTTCACTGTGGTTGCAAGACCCACTCTGAACGTGGATGGTATTGTTCTATGGACTGAGGCCTTCAGCTGAGTGAAAAAAAGAACATGAGCCAAAGAGGAGTGTCTCTCTTTCTCTCTCTCTCTCTTTTTCTCTCTCTCTCTCTTTCTCTCTCTCCCTCTCTGCTGCCCGACTGAATACATAATGTGATCAGCTGCCCTATGCTCCTATTATGATGACTGTCTTTTATCTATCATCGGCTGTACTGGCAAACTACCAGGCAAAAATAACCCCTTCCCGGCACAAGTGGCATGGAAGCAGGCATGCGGGGATGTGACCTTGGTAATGGCTGAAAGGAGGAAAGTATTTAGTGTTCTGAAATGAAAGAAGTGGAGGGCACAGAGCTGGGTGTTATTCCTAGATCACAGGGTCCCCCAAACAACCACAGAGTCCACACTCATATGAAAAAGCAAAGAGCGTTTATTCCGGCTCCAGCTTGGACCCTCCACCCATCTGACAGGACAGTGAGTCATAAAAAAACCAACTTGGGTGGGGTTCTTAACATAGCAGAGGTTGAGGTGAGGGGATTCCTAAGGTTCAGGACCCCTGATTGGCTGACATTTGTCTACGGGTGTCTTGGTAAAAAGGGATGGGTGTGTGCTGGTTTAGGGGACATCTGGTGATGTTGGAATCTACGTCTACAATGGTTGGAACATTAGATATTTCTTTTGTGCTTTGATGGTCCATAACTGGATGGTGCCTGAGTGGTCTCAGTTTGTGATCTTTCCCCATACCAGGTATTGCTTTAGGTTAACTGGAACTTGGATCTATTGTTTGAATGGCTGAGCTGGGCCCTACAACAGCTCTCTGACATCCTTTGAGAGGGGGACTGAGAAAAGGGGATGTAACAGCACACGGAGAAGCATCTGTCTTAAATAAACACAAACACTCACACAACTGAGCAAAATGGGAAAGCTCCGTGAGGAAGGGAGAAGGGTCCATGTGTCTGGAGAGGGGTTTGACCTAAAGAATTAGGGATGGATGAAGAAGTCAGATGCAATAGGAAACTGTGGGTGTCTTGAGTATGAGGGGCCATGACATCCTTGACACCACTGGGGGTCGTGTGGGGACCTAGAAGTCTTCCAGTCAGCGCTTTGTGCATCCCGTGACCAGTGGTACAGAATTAAATCCCCTCTCTTTACACATCGGTGGACAGGTCAGAGAACAGGCCTCTACTAGCCATGTTTTCAGACAGTGGGCAGGAACAAGCTCTTCCTCATTCCCAAAGGATGCTCCACCTCCCACGAGAGGGAAGAAAAGAGGGGAAAGACAGAAGCAAAAATTAAGAGGCCTCTAAGAGGAACTATATTAGTCATAGGTGCCAAGGTGACCATGTGTCAGACGTGAAATTCTGCGTAATTTGAAAAAGGAAATGTCTCCTTTATTGGGATCCCAGACAGTTCAGTTAAAATAAAATTAAACAAATGGCAAAAAGCAAAACCCATGTTGCTGTTTGCTGAGGGGGACGCCATTCAAGAAAGACGGCCTATTAGCCTCAAGGAACTTGATACCCATATGGCATTTAAATTCAACTGGGGGTAGATGTCGGGTAGAAAGCTAGGGAGAGAACCTTGGTTAGCCTGCCCTTCCTAAGGAAGGAGAGTGTCCTTCAAGATTTTATGCAAAATTATCTTGGTTTTCTCAGCAACTTCATCAAGTACACGTGCCTGTTGCCTGTGTGTTGAGGCAAAAGAGCAAAGGACAAAGTTAACAGCTCAAACGGGCAAATAGTGCAGCAGAGACATTGTCCGGCCATCTTGTTGGTGATCCTGTATAACCTGAGGATGACTCATATTCAGAGCCACCTGGTGGAGAGATTTGTCATCAACACCAAAGTTTTCTTGGAAGACTTTCTGACACTCTTCCAGATTATTTGGATCTGAGATTTTAAACTGTTTCGTTAAATTATTCTCCTTTATGATCCCTTTAACGAATTCCACTTTCTTACTAATAATCTCCTCACAGACTAGGAAAAGGGTTCGGAAGAGACCATTATACCTGATGCTATGGAGGTCTTCTGTCAGTGTTTCTCTAAGCTTAGGGAAATCGTGAGAATCAGGACTAAAGTTGGATACTAGGAATATGGGGGGCTTCTCCACCCCCTCCTTCTGGAGGTTTTCCTGGATGTTCTTTATGATGTTCTCCCGTAGCTGGGGTTCTGGGAGGGCACTTGTGTCGAGGTCCCTGTCCAGCTTTGTCCAGACGACATAGAACCTCCTTCTCATGCTCTGCATGGCTTTGGCCAGCTTCACATGATTCGAACTGAACTGCTCAGAAGCGATGATGATGATCAGGTCATATTGGCTGAAGTCCATCTCCTCCAGGTAGTTCTCCATGCTC